AACTGAAAATACTCAAGAACAATTTTATAATCTTATAATTCTCTTTAAGAACAATTTTTACAGAGTAGATTTGGAATATATAGCAAAACTAAATCCATCCAGTGGATGTCAGTGTTTGACCATGATGAGACACAACACAACTACACAGTGACAGAACATGACCACACAATGATCTCAGAGGGAGCCTTCAGCCAGGGAGTGCTTTTGTGTGTGCCCAGGGACCCATTTTCTCATAATGACCTCCAGTCACAAGTTTCTATGAAGCAAATGAGGTCACTATTCTAAGATGGGGCAATATTAACTTCATATTTCAACACTCAGTTCTCAAACTCAGTGGGAGCCAGTAGAGGGCAGTGACATTATTAAAAAAATGAAAAGTTAAATTGCAAGTACATGTCCACTGGGGGCTGTCGGGACAGGGAGTCAGCAGATTTCTACTGTGTGAAAGACATTTTCAGGAGACACAACGTTACTATAGCAACTTCTCTGGTTGTGTGACGATCATTAAAATCAACTGTAGTGTTTAGTTCGAACACATCTAACATCTGGATGAGACACCTGCACACACATGAATTAAGTTCATGGGTTATATTTTCAACGGTTATGGCGTCTGGATGATCAAAAACTGCAGAGTGAGTGAATGCGTTTGAGAGGAAGCTTGACTGTATCAGCAGCAGTGAGTCTGATGTTGTTTTTCTATAGAGTTTAGAAAAGAGCTGGAAGTAACTCTGAGGTATCTGGTCAAAGGTCAGACCAGAGGTTTGTAATCAGTCGCTGATAACACAGCAAACACACACGTATCAAAGCTGCCTATCTACTTTAAATAGCTAATTACCTGTGATGTGTTGAAAGAAAAGAGTGTGTGTTTCTTGATGAGATGGGACCATGTAATGTATATAAACTATACACTGATGACGTGTCTCCACTTCCTCCCACGCCCCAGACATGAAGCTGAAACATATTGAACCCAAAAGCTTCCATCTTGTGTATTTGGAGTCAGAGTCTGTTCAGCAGCGAGGTTTCCACCAATATACACGCTTGACCAATCATGAATTTTCACCAGGTTGTTATAGCATCAAGTAACTAACTAAAACCAAACTTCACTAATCAACCAAACTTCACTAATCAACCAAACTTCACTAATCAACCAAACTTCACTAATCAACCAAACTTACAGGAAAAATTAGCACTTGAACTAACATCAGTCAGTGTTATATGAACTACCTCAAATCATCTTTGAGAATAAAATATTTGAGGAGGACTTTGCAGCCAGCCACCAAATCGAGACCATTTGGCTTCACTTTCAGGGAGCTGCCATGCCGTCCATCTTTATTTACAGTCCGATGTTGTTTTGGATGTGAAAGGATATGAATGATATGTTTGTTTGACACTGGCTGTAAAGGGACAATAACCTCTTTGGTTTGGGTGTGTTTGATTAGACGTGAGTGACTTTTGTCCACAGTAAACCCTCCACTGTTTGTCCTGTTATCATTACTGAATGACCCATGCAGCCCCCTGATCCCTTGGGCTCCTGGGTAAAAGGCTTTACTTAACTGTTTTTTTTGAATTATTAGAAAAAATGCTGTTGAATGTTAAAGTTTGACAGAGCATAACAAAAAAACAACACATTGCAACATGGACCAAAATATAGAAAGAAACACATTTATTAAGATATATATTTACAACTTGTCACTGTCCATTTACAAGTATCAGGATTACACATGAAACAAAATCATCAGGAGTATGTAGAAGGTACAAGTATGGCACTGAGTGGTAAGAAAGAGTGAGATCAGTAAACACCAACAATCATATCAAGCTTTTTAGTGGGGAAATAAAGATATTTGACATATGGCTGCTTTATACATTGATCAGAAGATTTCAAACTGCATACTGTATACTGGTTAACATCCTTTGTGTATATTCAGGAAAAGCTGCGTAACCTGCTGCAAGGTCCCCTTCACTTAATTCAAGAAAAGGCTGCTTTCTCTTCCATGCTATGCTGTTCTGTTTAGAGATGTTCTGCAATTTTACCCTTAACGACAAATATTATGATACCTGGACTTACCGAGCACCGATCTAATAGCAGTGCATTAAAAAAACAACTTATATACGTATTTTCTATATATATTCTACTAACCCTGTATGAAAGTAATGATGGCTCTCATTGTTGTATGGCCTGGCTTAGAGAGAATTAAATAACATAGAACTTCTTTTATTAGTGTAAAAGAACACAAACAAATAAATCAGGGCATAAACAGCTCAAAACTGATCTCCTGCATATGATACATGTCGCCGTTAAACCTTTTACAACTTTCCAGTGTGAAATATTGCCAAATTGCTGACATAAGCTAGCTCTGGCTAACGCTATGCTACACCCAAAATCACTCCTCTCGCTCTTAAAACAGGACTTCCCAGCAAGGCAGCACAACACAAGGTTGTTGTATTGGGCATGAATGACAAAATGAAATCCAGTAGTGTAGCGTTGGCCAGAAAATATGGTCACACTGTACAACTGCAATGTTTACCAAATGCAGGACTTCAGATTCAAGCTATTTACATTTTAAGGAAAAGAAATTAGCACTTTTTTCTGAGTGAAACAAATATACTTTAAAGATGTGGCATCGCTACATGGATTTGCGCACTCGATGTCGATGCCTGACCCGGTATTATCTGAGGCATTTTAGATGCTGGTATGAGAACACGCCTAGTTCTGTTATACTGCAGATTATAATGTTTAAAAATCTAAACATATAAATTGTATCTTAGTTTCCAAGTTTTCATTTAAAAATGATGCTGGTGCGAGCGTCCGTGTGCTCTGATTTCAAGTACAACAAGATGTATTTATAAATGATTTCTACGTTCATCAGGAGCTACCAGCACATCTTTCTTTATGAGCCTTAGAATTAGCTTGTATTGTTATTTTCCAGTGAAAACTTAAAGATCAAAACGGGGGGGGAAGAAAATGCCACAACAAAAACAACATCATCATTAGGCAGATTTCATCAAAGAAACAAATCAACAACAATCTTAAAAATTTAGAAAAATGAAAGAGTGAACACTGATAATAAGGATAAAGGTAAATGTGCAAGGAACGGCACAACACTTAAAATGTGCTGAAACATTTTTTTTCTGTCAGGCTGCTTTTGAACAAGATGGATCTGACAAATATAAAGCACCATAAAGTTACAGATGCAGTTTCAAAGTTGTTTTTGTAAGGAAAGTGCCCCCTCCAGTGGCCGTTGCGTGACTAACAGTCAGTCGTGACAAAAGCTGAGTGGCTGCAATGAGCATCATCACTTCATATGAAGATTAAAGTGCATAAGGCTGAGTTCTTTTTTAACTTATTATTTACATGCCACATCTTCTTGTTTCTTTCAGTATATTTAAAGATTTGACGTCACTGCCAAACTCATACAAACTGCAATTTTACAAACCTACGACATCCATGATTTCTACCTCAGCCCCACAAAACTGTATATATCTGTATGATGAGTGTGATCAACCCAAATATGCAAATAAAATTTTAAAGTAAACTCTCCGTAGCTTTAAGTATATTTCCCTAATTAAACATTCAACAAAGTGCTAACCAAATATATTTTAAAATACTTTACATCAATGAAATACAGTTAAGAGAGCCAATGTCCTACAAGTAGACAAAAGGCATGCAGTGCATTTCCAGAATCACTTCAGCTCTGTACACAACCCTTACATGCAGTGTTAAAAACCTGCAGCTGTGAGACGTATAAAACCACGAGCCTTTTATAAATGAAGTGCTACCTCAGAGAAAATGACCAATATACCTTTACATGTCCAGAGATCCTTAATCATCACAGGCTCGTCTACCACACTGCATGACATCACACCTGCCAATACTGCATTAATATTGTATAAAGAGCTACAGTACATTTCAGAGGTTGCTCTTCATTCAAAAACAGGCCACGGATAACTCTAAAAATAACTCTAAAATTTACTATGTACATATGAAAGAGGCTCGTCTTTGCTGGACACATTAACTGATTGATTTGATTTCCGTTCAGAGTTGGTGTCCAAACTGTTGAGTCCTGCAGAAGAAATAAACTTTCAGTATAAAGACAATCCACAGGGGAGGGATGGGCTCGATTAGTTCATTCTGAAATGTTAATGATGAAACAGAATATTACGAACCTGGTACATCCGTCTTGCCTTTGGTGACTCTGTGGAGGTCTTAGGTGAACAAACTGCATAAAACAGACGGCAGATTTAAGAACAATCAAGTAATAAAATGCACAGATACAGAACAAGACTTGCTAACAGCTCTTTGAGGCCGTACTGAGGCTAAAGCATTATTATTATTATTGTTTCTTGTTTTAGTTTTAAAGGCAAATTTTTGTTCCTGAGTGAAGGTTGAGATTTTAAACTCTTCTTTGTAGCTCAGGGTTATCCCTCCTCAATGTGGTTGAACAATGCATTATACAGATATATCCTGGACTTTTGTTATATTGCTACTGATGAGTTATATTGTGATGATTATTGATATTGTTTTATGAATATACGCAGTCAGAGTACCTATTTCCCTGAATTGAACTGTTGATACTCACCAACTCTCTCTCACGGCTTCAATGTCACTCACAAGATTCTGCGCCAAACAAATGCCGAAAATCTGAAACCAAAGAAACAAACCGACGAGTCAGATTGATGTGAAGTTGACAGGGATCAGATGTCAGAGTAAACCGCTGACACTGTTCCTCACCTGTAGTAACGCAATCCCAATAAAGATGCCTGCCACTACCGTCAGGTTGTCTTGAAGCCACTTCTCAAACTGAGGGACGCAGCCTTTGATATAAATGAAAGTTCGCTGTTCGGAGTCCTGGAAGAACAGAACACACAAGTCAGACCAATACTACAGCCTGATAATCACATGCAGATGAAACATTGTGGCTTTTACTTTTATTAATCCTTAAAAAGCCTGAAATCTTAGAATTACAGTGCAGCTGACATTTCTTACGAAGATTTTTTTTCTTCTTTATTCTTATTTTCATTACCTGGTTGTTAACACACACACTCCGCTCACTGTTTTCCTGCTCTGACTCATTAAATCTGCTCCACTCTGCCTTTTTTTAAAGGCAAGAAAACAAACACAGCCTTTTCCTTACATTATGCTTCTGTGGAGTACAGCCAAAGCTAATGATGAGGGGGGAGGGGGTTTCAATCCCCATTGCATTGCTGCAGCATGAGTAATACCACAGGAGCCAGCATGCTGATGGAGAGCCAGCTGCTGCATTTTGGGGGAATGGGGAGTTTTGGGGGAAACACAGTGAAAGAGCAACATTGTGCCCAGGGTGGGGAACCTAATGACCTCATGCGGACATATAACTTTCACTGAGGTAAAATAAGTGAGAGCATTCACACTCGTGCTGTTTTATGGCCCCAGCGTGGTTTCAGACAAGGGGAGGGTCTCAGGTTCTGTTATCTCACCGTTTTTGCTCGGATGTCGTATCCACACTGAGTGTTGATGACGTCCTCCTGTGAAGAGAATTCAGTTCAAGTCAAGATATTTACTGAAAATATACAGTTTCAACATGGATTTCATTTTCTTTTCTTTTGTAATGATGATTTTGTCACTTATGTCAGTGTCAAGATCACAGACTGTAAATAAAGTTGGATGTGATCACTCCTCAAAAGTGAAGCTAAAGCATCTTAATCGCCTCCTGATGGCTGGCTGCATTATGGTCATAAATCTCGCCTCCTCTATGTTAATGGTTGGGACATGGACCAAACTAAAATGTCAAAGTACACGTTACGTATTTTTTTATCACTGTATGTTCAAGTTTTCAAATTCCTGATACCTTTGTTTTTAATTAGTTATTAGATTGTTTTTTAAAAGAGGTGAAACATCACGATTGACGTCTGGTTTTTAACTTTGTATGGCATTCAACGAAAGACAGACCAACATTCCAGCCTTAACTTTGTCTCATTAACTGTCTTAAAATCTGCCTGTGAAGACGTGGCCTCAATTACCTAAATTCAATGCTTTATATTATTTATGTTGCACATTTATTTGCATGGAAAATTAATGTTCTTTACATAAACTGCATTCATCAACAAGTGATATGAAATCATAAAAATGGGTGTTGTAATAAAACCTGGCCTAAAGATGCTAAGGTGTGTCTCATGTTTGGCAGATACAGAAGTCAGTGTTCAGTGCAAGTGTTAACATCTAGGAACATGGTGTTTTTTTCATTTCCTGTTGATGCAAATCATCATGAGGTGTTTCCCCTGTAAGAGGCTGACCTCTTTGGAACCGCATGTCCTTATTTCAGCATGAAAACAGGCTCTTGTGAAACCTCCATTACAGTGAAGTGAGTCTGCTGCTGTCACTGCTTTTCTCTGTGCAGCAGTTTTCTGCCAAAAAAAGTGCCTCAGTTTAAGTTAACTCCTCCCAGCCGCTTTGCTGTGCTGGCAGTGTCAAAGAGGACACTGAGGCCTGGACATCCTGTTGGAAGCCAACAACGTCAGTCAGGCAGCTGGAGGATGCGGATAACCAGGCTGTCCTGTCACAGGGAGGACCTTCACAATTTCCCCTCCAACAGCAGACAGCATACATGTTTCAACATGTTTAACAGAGACCTACTGAGATTAAATTCTACCTAAGAGAAACAAGAACATCAAATTACACCCAGGGGTTTGAGTGTTTTACCATAAAAATGATTTACTGGTTGTGAATTAGAAAGACCTCCAGTTAAATCTTTTTTTTTTTCCATGCCTCTTATCTGTCATCATTCTCCTGTCAGTAATTGTATTAACTATTAAAACTAGTGTAGTACAAGTACAAGTCCTACAGGCGAGATGACTGTAAACTAACATCTGTTATTTATTCCCTCAAACACATAAACATCCAAGATGTCCCTCTCTCTCTCCCTCCCTATCCCCTGGTGTTCCTCTGTCTGTCCTTTCTCTTCCATCAAGTTTTCTGCTGCTGGACCTTCGGCCTTCCTAAGACCTCTCTCCCTCTCCTGGCTTTCAGTGACTCATTCCAGATGTTTTAGATCTGGATCTTTATCCTCCAGGATCAGCCTCCCTATCTCTCTCTGTCCCCCTCTTTGCGTTTGTTTCCTGGAGGAGATGAGGCCATGTTTTGTCCAAAACTTTTTCTCCGTTTGAGGGTCTGAGCACAGATTGTGTCATAATGCTGCACAGATTGCAAAGCCTATTGAGGCAAATTTGTGATTTTAATAACTTTGGATTGACTTGTGTTTTTTGGTGACACATACCGCTGGATCTTTGGTGCAGCAAGAAAATGGCACTCCACATTTCTCTCGACTCGGGTTCGAATCAGTGCAGTTGAAGTATATGTTCAAATTCCAGTCATCTGCTCCAAAAGCTCCACAACATTCCCACTGTGAGTTTAAAAAGACAACAACAGCTCATATTTATGATCCTCACAAAGTAAAAACAACACTGAGGTGAAATCAATACTCGGCATAAGGAAAGATCGTGCTCACATATTCCTGGGTGAAGTCTATCAGGTTCTGCAGGTCAATGTCGTCCCTGTACGCGCGTATGTTGTTGTTAATGAAAAAGTTAAGCTGGTCCTTGATCCAGTCTTTGAAGACAAAGGCCAGGACTCCTGCAGTCAGCTCCAGGAAGAAGATGATACCCAGGAACACGGAGAACTGAAAATACACAAACATTCACAGCTCTCTGAATTTCACTAATAATATTATGACACCAATGGAGGCTTTAGGGAACGTACAAACTTGAGGAGGAAAGAGTTTTCCCGCAGCGCTCCGATGCAACCGGCAAATCCCAGGATGAACATCACGCCACCCACCACGAGGAAGAGCCACACAGGGTCGAAACCCCCCAGATCCGTGATGGACGAGATGTTGGAGAGAACGCCCTGGTGAGGAGGTAAAACAGTGAATGGATAGAAGGGTCACGCCACTGAAAGAGAAATGGTTCGAAATCACATGAAAGAAATGAAAAGGAAAATCTAATCTTCCACGCTTATACACCCTTGAATAATGTAACAGTAACACGATTGGTTGATAAATAGAATCAACCTGAAACTACTATCACATCTGTACAGTTAATATGGAAAAGGAACCAGCTAGCACAAATACCGGAAACAGGGAAAAACATCTAACCTGGATCTGTCCAGGTTTAACAAAATCTGTCTGCCAGAATCTCTAAAGGCCTTAAACTCATACATTGCAGCTGTTTGTTTAATCCACATAAAAACTGTTGAAATGAAGATTAATGATTTTAAATTAGCAGCTTCCTGGTTAGCTCTTGGCTAAGAGAGACCTCAGCACATCCCACACCCATTGGACTTCAGTTTGTGTTTAAAACAAAACGACCCATATATTGTGTTGATAAGTGAGTTCTAAAAGTGCTGACAGGTGGATTTTGTAACTTTTGGACAGAGCCAAGCTTAGTGACGCTTTTCTTATCAACCAACTCTTGGCAAGAATGCATGTTTTTCCTTTGATGTGAGAGTAAATAAAAATTTCAGGAAACTGTTAATCATCAGATTGATCAAAAATTAACACAATCATTAGTTTCAGTCATGTGTTAAGCATTCATCTAAAAAAAATCTAAAGTAGAGCCAGACTGATGTTGACTTTTGGAAGCTGATGCCAATATTAGGGCATAAACTGTTCACATACCAATACAGAATTAGCAGATATACAGATGTTTTTATCAAACCCTTTAGACAAAGAAATGTAATGTAGGGTTTATACATTGCAGTTTAACAATTAAATCTTCTATAAATACAATGAAAAGACAAACAACCAAAATATGTAGAAATATATAAAATATAGAAGCATATCATAAAATACATTATTTGACTTTTGTTACACAAAATATAAATGCAAATTTTTCCAGCAGTTTTCAATCTGTTAAATAAAAGTTTTCATTGGTGCGTATTGTGAAAGAAATACACTGATACCAATATGTCTGTGAATGGTTAAGCTCTGTGAACTTTGACTGGCTAAACTGATGAATCAGACGGACTCTATCTGGAAGCTCTTCAGTGAAATCCAAGACACTTTCCCTGGACTATGTGTCCACTTGTTAAACCACCACTACTGAGACACACAATGAATGAATCTGGAAAATGCATCAGATCCATTCAGAGCCTATTGTTCACAGGGTTGTCCCTCCGGAAATCATGACATTCCTTTCTGATTCAGTCAAGCCACTTCTTCCATTCTGTGCAGACAAATGAGTGAATGACCAGTGGTGAAGGTAAATGATACCACTTAGTTTATGGATTTCATTATTTGCACATGTCTTTAAGTGAAGAGATTAAAATTGTTCATAAGACTCACCTTCTCGCTCCATGCCCACAAGCCAATGCCCAGAAACGCCACTCCAAGGAACTGACAGAGAGGAAGACGAGAGAGAGACGAGACAGAGAGGAGAGAGCGGGATTATTGAAACATGTAGTCATCACACAGAAGCACGGACACAGACAAACCACAGAGAGATTTTCCTGGCTCTGGTCCATTACTAAATATTTCTCAGCTCAGTCTGCAGCCAGCTGGAGACTCCCACATTAGAAAGCATCTTTAAACGGCCCGAGCGGATTAGTACGAGTTTCCACCTACAGTGGAAGAGTTCGAGACCACAATTCAAGTCAGGATTCGGGGCATTGAGGACATTTCACTACTGGCTGAATGTTCAATAAAATGTTATTTCTTTCGCTGTAAATCACATTATGTCAAGGCACCCAAACAGAACAACTGAAGCACAAGTCAACTGAACAATTATATAATAACCATGAAAAATTACAATTAACTGATCATAAATTTGTCATTTAATACTTTATTTTAGTCATTTGTTTGCTCACATTTTATAAGTTAAACAGAATTGTTAGAACAGTCATCATTAAAGAATGTAGTGGGCTATTTGCAGCCATAATCAGCCCTTATCCATATCAGGGCTGTAATTTAAACCTGATTACGATCATGTATCATATCTTGAGTTGCCCTCAGTTCCCACCCCTGATATCCAGTCTGTATCGTTAATTAATGACATTCCTCGAGCCATTATGTCTGACCCCACTTCTGCTGCTCAGTAAATTAAAGAAGAAGCTGGTCTGGTGAAAAATGGGCCTTTCAGAAATTCCTCTCGAGGTCAGTGGTGAGTCCAAACCACAGGAGATGTTTTCTCTTTTTCCTCAACACAGAGTGATCATGTCTGCTCTGTCTCTGCAGCCTCCACCCAAACACCACTGACACTGAAATGTCCTCACATGAACAGATGAGGGGTGATATAGGGTGTTATCTCACAGCCCAGAGGGAATTACACAGCCCTTCATCAGAGCTTCACTTAAACCCTGAAGCTGCTGACAACACAAACAACACGGTGCAAGAAACAAAAGCAGCTGATGCATGGAGCAAGTGCACATCAGGAGCAGGGGAGGAAAACATCCGTGTTCACACAGCAGGAAATCAAACGAATAATAAAAAAAAACACTGATGTCCGAGGATTAAATCAAAGACATCAAAGCTGCTGCAGATGGAGAACAAAAAGAAAACAAGCTGTCATTTCAGAAAGAGGAGCTGAGGATCCACATGCAGGCCTGACTCACCCAGAATATGATGTTGAATCCGAAGATGAAATACTTGATGCAGCAGCTCACCTCATGAGCCTTGAAATGCTTCCCTGACATCATCTGGACGCTTTGTTATTGGGATCGTCTAACCTCTGGGGGAAATGAATCGCACCTATGATCCTCTGAGGGTCCGACCGCCTTTTCTCCTCCTGCGAGAAACCCCCTCTTTATTTGTGAGGGCTCGAGTGAAAGCAAACAGCCGTCTCAGCTTCCGACAACAAACATCATTATCTTCATCTTCCTCATCGTGATTGTCCGCTGATGAAGAGGCTCCGCGGCCCGAGCTCCTCCGAGGATGCACCAGCTGATCCCAGCTCCGCTCTCCAGAGGTAAAACCGTGAGATTAATCCCCCGAAGTCAAACCGAGTCAAGCCGAAGGTCCCCTCTCCCGCATCTGAGCCATAATACAGACATGGCTGTTATTTGAGCGACACGTTCGTTGAGCCAATCAGGGGTCTCCGGTGGGTCAGGGGAGGCGGGACTTCCTCTAGCACAGGGACCGCAAATAATCTCAAAATAAACCACGTCATGATATTTAATTAATTAGACTATAT